TGTCGATGTCCAAATATTTATGGACCTAACTGTATATCCTTAACCATGATTTGCTCACTATAAAGTCACAAAGTTTGGCTGCTGGCTTTAACAAAAGTATTGATTAACAACTTCATAGCTCACAAAAGCTCAGTTTTATTGGTTTAGCATTTATTCGTATATAATTAGTATCTTTATGGAGAAAATTAATGGAGTTTTTACTTCCTGAACCTGATTTTTGCACTCTAAACAATCCGATAGCACCGAGACATTTCACTGTCTGTCTCATTTAACTCCAGTGAAATTGCAAGAATGTTGGTCAGGTATGATTTTGTAGGTATAGTCTACATTATATAGCATATTTGTTTTATGCCAAAAATAATTAGAGCAGTGCATAAAGACTATGTTCTACAGAGACATTTTCTTACTTTTTTATCGGAATTATGATAACAAAGCTGTTGAGATCATTTCAAGATACTACATTAACTGTAACTAAGATATGTTTGCACAGAAAACAAGTGGAGTTAGACAACACAGGCATCTGTATTTCAGTGCGAAACAGATCTTCACAAGCCTATTTCCAGCAATCGTTTCTCATAGAGACCACCATATGTACAGCTTAAAGACGACTGCAGCTACTGTTACCGCAGTTTGTTGCATTGATCCCCTATTTAAAGGAAAAGTTCACCCAAAAACAAATATTCCCTACAACCTTTGCTTTAAGACACACTAAACGTGTTTTAGATCTATGGTTCGACCAAAATGTAATATTATAATCCTCTGAAAGCAGATTCTAGATGATTCAGCTATACTGCAAAATTACAAACAAACTGGGTCCCAAAAATTGACTCAAAATCTTTATTTTAGTCTATTTAACCTTGTATTCTTGGATTCTCTTTGATTGTCATTTGTTATTTTCAACACAGGCTCATTCTGAAAACGTAGTCCTTTGGACGTTTCTGGAGATTGCGAATTATGTAGCCGGAGGCACATATGGCTGCATTTAATTTTTTGAGCGAACGATACGTGGCAATATGACACCAATTCCTTTTCGCGCTTACTGGCTGACCGCGTACCTCCATGTGGAGGGCTTTCCTGCCGCAACCAGTTTGTCCAGTAAGCTCATTGTGTACATCGGCGGACTTGAGACGCAGAGAGGAGTTGACCACGATGACGGTGACTGGGTTTGAGTCCAGGGAAGAGCGGTTCCAGAAATCAAGTAAGACAAAAACAGAATCCAAAAAGTAAAGTTCATAACAGGATGAGAATGTGATAAAATCCGAAAATGTGGTAAAATCAGACAAGGTTTTTTTTTTTTTTTTGTGGACGGCTTTTGTAATATGTTGGTTGGGTTTAGGGTAGTAAGTGGGTGGGCGGGTCAATCGGTAAAATTGGTTGAGTTTAGGGAAGGAAGAGGGTGGGTTAGTCGATTGGCTGGTTGCACAGTCAATCATTCAGTCAGTCAGACAGATGGTCGTTTGACAGCGGCCTCTGGTGGGTTTATGTGAGAACATCTCGTGTGCAAACTGCACTCGCAACAGACATTTGAGAAATGAAAATGTGTACACAGCGTCCTCTTGTGGATTCGCGAAAACAAAATTGCAAAAATACGTACCTCCTGGGACGTATTTCACAGTCTCCAGAAACGTCCACGGGACTACAATTTCAGAATGAGCCTGGATTGTTTATTAAATTATTTATTTATTTTTAAAGAACCAATATTCTCAAACAAAATCTTTAGTGAATAACATTTTTAATTCTACTTTGTACCTCAAAATAATGCAAGTATGAAATTACAAAAAAAGTCAGATTTCATGAAAAGATTGATTGTTTTTAAATGAAATGTAAGTGAATAAATACTGTATAAATGTTATTTTTGTTTGACCTGTCCATTCAAAATAAAAAAGGATGGCTATACCAATATTTAACAAATAATGATGTAAAAAAATACAGTATAAAGTACAGCAGTACAATAATATTGCATGCAATATAAAATCATGTGATGAGGGAAAAATGAAAGAAATGTAGACTGTTGGAGGCTAAATTATTAGCCCTCTCGAATACTTTTTCAAACATTTCCCAAATGCAGTTTGATCGATAGTTTAAAAAAAAAATTAATAACTTGTCTTTGTCCTAGCCATAATGACTGTACATAATATTTTACTATTTATGTTGTAAACTAGTATTTAGTAGTGAGAGTGTTGTAAACTAGTATTCATTTTGTAAACTAGTATTTAGCAGTGAGAGTGGTGTGTTAGCCAACAAAAAAAGCCAGATAATAATGTTGACCTGATATAATATATATATATATATATATATATATATATATATATATATATATATATATATATATATATATATATATATATTTTTTTTTTTTTTTTTTTTTTTTTTTTTTGTTTAGACAAACTTCCTCAAAATAAAATTAACAAAAAAGTATAGGAAATTCTGTGGGAAAATATCCTTGCTCTGTTAGAAATCACTTGCAAAATGTCTTAGGAGCACTAATGATTTTTTCTTCAACTGTAATAATTTATCTGTATTGATAGATTTATAGTGTGCATACCATGATTTAAATGTTTGGGGTCAATATATTATTATTATAAGAATGCATACAGATAGTAATAGCATGTTTCTACTGTATTTAGGTGTAATTAATATATGTGACCACAAAGCGTAGATACCAGCATCATTACTTTAGTCTGAGTATCACATATACTCCAGAAATTAATCAAATATACTACTTGCTGTTATTAACTACTTTTTAAAAAGGTATTATTAACTATTGTTATTAACAATTGCTTTAAAAATGCTACATTAACTTCCTTTAAAAAAAAGTGCTGTAATCAATAAATGCATCTTTGCTAACTACAATTACTAACCTCAAAGTGTTTCAATTGAGTAGACCATTATAATGAAGAAGAAGAAGAAGAAGAGACGTATTAAATTGAGTTGAATAGCTTTTGGACCTTGTGCAATCATTTAGTGTATTTGGGGGAAGCTGACGGAAATATTTTATTTACTTCGATTTTCTGAAGAATAGGATGCCTGCACCAAGGTCTACAGTATTCATCTGTGTATTTATGTGCAAATAACTCTGGCATGAAAATAAATAGCTAAGGCCGCATTCTCTAGTGGATGAAAGCTTAAAATATCCAGCATTAATATTTGTATCAAAATCCACAATGGACCCAAATCTATTTGGACTCTTTTATGAGTCATTTTCCAGTAAATAACAAAAATTTAAAAACCAAGTGACAACTATTTCAAATCAATTAATTGATCTTCATGAAATATGCATGTGAATAAACTAGTGAGTGGCAGTTGCTATTTCTCTTATTAAGATTTATCTTCATTTATAAAGTTTTTTTATATATGTAGAATTTTGTTTTTTAGCCTCTTTATATAGAGTCATGTATTGCAATTAAATTATTTAGGATTAAAGTTAAGATGAGTTTAGAATATTTCAGCTCATGTTAGTCTAATAAAAAGCAGCATTTTACGCCCTCTTGTGGCTTTTCTTAAACTTACACTGTCTTCACTTTAACGCAAGAATGCAGACATGCATGGTTTGCACAATTTATTCCCCTTTATATTAAGCCTAAAATAAATTCTAGGTCAGTAAAAAAAAAGCTTTAATTTATTAAAATTCGTCGACTACAACGTGGATTATCCACAATAAACTAGGACATCTGCCTTCTGTTGAAATGAATAATCCCCATACAACATATAACAGCAAACCCCTCAGGAAGCCACAGCTGGAGCTGTAAATCTATTCACAATATAACAAGAACATGGACATTTGATATTTATTACTGTTTATGATTACTATATTATTAATTAGATGTTGCTTCAAACATATCTTGTTTTTATTAATGTATTTGCAATAATATAATTTGCAACATATGTATTATTTTGAATTTTAATGTTCTTTTACATGTTTACAAATTAAGATATTTTTTGGTCCATTCAAATTCCCCTTTTATAATAATAATATTTTCAATAGTATTAGTTGTTATAGAGATACAGTAATAATAATAATAATAATAATAATAATAATAATAATAATAATAATAATAATTTCATCATAAAAATAGTTATTGTCATGTTATTACTTTAGTTATTTAGTAATTAATATAATTTGCTCACATTTCATAATTGATTACATAGATAATTCATGAGTAGATATAAATGTTAATGTACAGTAGATGCAGTAATCTGCAGCATTAACTGTCTTTATAGCTTCATAAAACTTTGATCTTCAAAATATATTTTCTACATTTTGAATATCTTATTAACAGATTTAATAAATGCTATAACAAGTATTGCTCAATGTTATGTCATGTAAACTGATAGGCTCAATTGATATTAGCAAACAAAACCTTATTGCTTAAGTGTTGTTGTTGTTATTTAAAGGAGCTGTTTCTCCACCAATTCAATATTTCCAAACGAATCATGAACGGAATCACCAGTTTTGTCCTTGCCTGAATAAATCTGCAGAATAAATGACGACTCGTTCATAACACATTAATTTGCTGCCAGCTACTGGTCTAACCATGTTACTTGAAGAAGGAGTCACTGAAATCAAACAAATAGAAGCAGTATGGACTTATACCATGAATTTGACAGAGAGCTTTATAAATGCTAAACAGATCATTAAAAACAATCACAGCGGCTTGTATGAAAAAAAATTTCCTATGCATGCACGTATAATTATTTGCAGTTTGTCTTGCTTTGATTACTACACTTATTCTGATCTGAATGCGCTTACGACAGGGTAGCTATAGTACCAATGGCGATTTGAACAGAGCTACAGCCGTATTCCTCAAAGTGATTGACAGGTAATCTGTGATGACCATAAAACGCTATAGGTATGTAATGACGCCTACTTTTTATTATCATCCCTTCTTCACACATATCATAACATGGCTCAGGGAAATACGCCATATTGCAAACAAATTGTCATTTTAATGATGTGCTTCATTTATTCCCCCCATAGCAGAAGCTCTTTTTTTACTTACCCAGAAACATCACCATTGCAACACAGGATAATTTCAAAGCGGACGCCCATTGCGTTTCCCCAGAATGCAATGAAATGAGCATTTTGGTCGCTGGAAATGTAAGGATCGCAAAATAAGAATAAAACAAATGCGTTTGAGATCTATTTCTCCGTTTCAGACATACAAAAAAACTAGGAAAATGTGTTTTATTTTGTGCTATGATATGGCTGGCAGTGTCTGTAGCAGGGAACTGGTTGATATTATGGTTGCCGTTTTTGATTTCTTGTACAAGGGGGTTGACACTAATCACTTTGTAACATTAAACTATTATTGCACCGAAGAAATAATGTAGAAATTTAATATAGGCAATATTAAACGATTTAAAAAATATGCATTTATTTATTGCATGTCTTTCCTCGATTCGCCACAGCCAGAAATTAGTCTACAAAAATCCACGCGGTTGTTGATGCGAAACCAAAAAATGATGCAGCAGCTTGCAGTAGCACCACCTCTCCTCATCTCCTCACTAATGGACATCAAAGTGCACTACAGATGAGCACAGATGCAGGTGAGAAAATAAATGATGCTGGAAATGCTGGAAAATTGTCCTATTTAAAAATATATGTATACATTTTTTTTAAACATGGGCATGCCAGCGTCATTTTGCACATTAAAGATGCTACACCGAAACAATGTCTTAATGCCAATAATGGGTTTAGCCACTAGTTTATTGCAACTCTTGGCTTGTGGTTCCTTTAAATCTCAAAGGCAAAGTGCATGAATACTTGAGTATAATACACAAAACCACTTTTGCGCTCAGTACATCAGGGACATTTTGTTGGGCAATATTTCTAGAGACAGCTAGCGAGTCTGTTAAACTGAGTGCAATGGGTACAAAATGAAAGCTAAACATATTTAGCAGTTTTATTTTGTGATAGTGTACATGATCCATGATAGGATATACAGTATATGAAAAAAAAGGAAAATAATAGTTTTTTTTTCATCCCTTTTAATGTGAAATAACTGAACCTTAACATAAGGGGCTAAGACAAACACTCATTGTAGAAGAAAAATTCAGATAGAACTCAGTTTTTTTTGCATCTGAACTCTTACTGTAAATATACGATATTAAAACGATGGTAAAACAATAGTAAAACGATCGTTTTACCATCGTTTTACAACCATTTTACAATCGTTTTACCCTCGTTTTACAATCGTTTAATCATCGTTTTACCCTCGTTTTACAATCGTTTTACAATCGTTTTACCATCGTTTTACAATCGTTTTACCATTGTTTTACAATCGTTTTACCATCGTTTTAATAAAGTTTAACTATAGTAAATGTATACTTAAACCATAGTTAAAGTAGATTACTCTAGTAAACTAGTAAAATAATGGTAAAACAAGGGTAAAACAATAGTAAATCAATGGTAAAACAAGGATAAAACAATCTTTTTACCCTTGTTTTACCATTGTTTTACCCTCGTTTTACTAGTTTACTATGGTTTTAGTATGCATTTACTATAGTTAAACTGTAGTAAAACAAGGGTAAAACGATGATAAAACAATAGTTAAACGATTGTAAAAGGATGGTAAAACAATGGTAAAATGAAGGTAAAACGATCGTTTTACAATCGTTTTACCATCGTTTTACCCGCATTCTACAATTATTTTACCATCGTTTTACAATCGTTTAACCATTGTTTTACCATCGTTTTACCCTCGTTTTACCAATGTTTTACCAATGTTTTACCATTGTTTTACCATCGTTTTACCCTCGTTTTACCATCGTTTTACTGCCTTTGCCTTAATTAATTTGCACGCTAATGTCTTCTGCTTTGTGCCCTATTTGTGTTGACAGTACTGTACTCTATGTACTTTTTTTTTAAAAATCTGATTCATGTACAACATTTACTTGTAACATTTATTTTCAGTTTGCTATTTTGTAGCTCAACAATAAAACAAACAAAAGTTTGCATTAAAACAGAAATTAGAATCTCTGTTAAAGGCATTGTCCGGCCTTTCTCAATCATTTTCCATCTGGCGGGCCAAATTAAAGGATACAAAGGGCCAAATGTAGTTTGGGCATCTCTAATTAAAGGGATAATTCGCCCCAATACATTAAATTTGCTCCCTGTTCACTCTATCTCAAATGGTTGCAAACCTTTATGATTCCTTTTTTTTCTGTAGAACACAAAAGAAAATATTTTAAAGAAAGCTGAAAACCTGTAACCACTGACTTCCATATTAGGAAGAGCAAGTACAAATGTAGTCAATGGTTACAGATTTACAACATTTTTCTAAATATCTTCTTTTGTGATAACAACAGAAATTCAGAAGGTTTTAAAGCAGGTAACGGGAGTAAATGATGACAGAATTAGAATTTTTGGATGAAGTATGCTGTGAACTTTAAGTCTTTTTGATATGACAGTAAATTATTCATTCTTTTACAATAAATGACAAATGGCTACTCTAATTCTAATTCATGTAAAAATGTGGGATAATTATATTTTGCTTAATAACAATAAAAGGGGATAGAAATTAAAGAAAAAATGCCTCAGGCACTTTGTTTTAAACTACCTGACAGTATAAATATTTTATACTCTAATCTATTTAAATAATTAATTCTTCTGTTTGTGTCCCATTTTGTATGTTTTGAATGAAGCAGCATGATCAGTTTTTCTTTATCTCGATGGCAGAAGGTATACAGAATACGGGTTCTTCATTCTCTGACTGCCAGTCAGTAGGAAGACGTCTGCTGTGTCTGGCTGCGATGGGAGTAAAGGGGAAACCATGCTGCATCCAAAGGTTGACAAAAACACACATATAAACATTATTTTACTAACTGTAAACACACATGCTTATAATTTCACTCTACAATATTAAAGATGCATGTCATAAAGGTAACACTTTAAGTTAAAATTCACACAATAACTGTTGGCTTATTCATTGCCAGGCCTATTATTAAGCTATTAGCTGTTTATTAGCACTTATAAAGTATGATCTTATTCTACATCCCTAGCTTAGTCCATCAACTACTTTAATAACTATTAATAAGCAACTAATTAGTGGTTTGATCTAAAAGTCTTATTGCTTTGTTAATATTATTATCTATAATAATAACCTTTATATTTTCTTGAAATCTATGAAAACTTTTATTTATGTATTTTACTTTGCTAAAATAAATAGAACAACTGAAAATTAAACACATGCTTAGTTTATTAAAATGTAGATTTGATGTGCATTAAAATGCTATAATTATTGCAAATATAATACAAAATAGATGAAAAAGGATGTAAGTGCCTAATTATCATGTATTTATAATTTTGTACTTTACTTTAATTTTGTACTAACTTTCAAGTCTACAGATGTAGTCAAATCAAGTAATTAGTAATGGTAGATAATTTAGCAATTAAAGTATTAAATAAATTTCTGAACGTTAATGTAATTGTCTTGTATAAAATTGCATTTGTTGTAGAACATTTGTACTGAAAAAGTTTTAATTTGGCCCACTTAACAAGTAATACAAGTATATACCACATTATGATCAAGTGCGTAATATATGTATAAAGTATATTCGTCAACATATCAAAACAACTGTACTTAGAAAATAGTTTTTTAAAAGGACTATGTGTATGTTATATATTTTTTATGTATTGCAAATGCCTATATCTTAGGCCATAGTGCCTATATCTTTTAAATGACTTGAAAGTTTTTTCTAACTCTGGCAAAACATTGCCAAAACAGGCCAGTTTTCAAAGCTGCAAAAAACCAATTCAGTTTCAAAAATAAGACAACAATTGCTAAAGGTCCAGTTAAAGTCAAAGTGATTAGTCCCCTTTGAATTGTTTTTCTTTTTCAAATATTTCCTAAATGATGTTTAACAGAGCAAGAAAATTTTCAGTATATTTGATAATATTTCTTTTTTCTGGAGAAAGTCTTATTTTTTTTATTTCGGCTAGAATAAAAGCAGTTTTTTTTTTTTTAACTCATTGTAAGGTCAGAATTATTAGCCTTTTTAAGCTATTTATTTATTTTTAGTAGATAGTCTACAGAACAAACCATCATTATACAATAACTTGATTAATTACCCTAACCTGCCTTGTTAATCTTATTAACACAGTTAAGCCTTTAAATGTCACTTTAAGCTGTATAGAAGTGTCTTGGAAAATATCTAGTAAAATATTATTTACTGTCATCATGGATAAAATAAATCAGTTATTATAAATGAGTTATTAAAACTATTATGTTTAGAAATTTGTTGAAAAAATATTCTCTCTGGTAAACAGAAGATGGGAAAAAAATAAACAGGGTGGCTAATAATCCATTTTCTAAAGGGTGTACTGTCCCTTAAAGTGCTATACATTTATTTTAAAGCGTAATTAAGTATGTTAAATGATTTCAAACAAAAATCTAACTCATCACATAGATTAAGCAGAATAAAGGTGGAATAAACTTATGCAATCACATATTGCTTCATATAATTAATGTATTTCACATATTTCTTGATTACCATGGTGACATAGATGTTGTCTGGACTGCTGGGTGGATTGCCTACATCTGTCAGTACAGGCATAGAGCTGCATCCCACCTGAGACATAAAACAAGCCTCAGAGAAAGAAGAACATCCGAAAAATGCGACAACTGTAATGTACTTCATATTTTTTTATTCCGTAGCACAAATGAGCTTTCAAAATAGACAAATTTGAATCACACAATTCAATATTTTCACATGTACTTCTTATTTTTTGCTCTGCACTTTTTGTGGAATTAATCTGTCAGAAAAAAAATGGAGGAAACAAGAACAGAAACACAGAAGTAAGTTTTAAAGATAGCGAGCTACCTTGTAAGTGATCCTCATGTCTTTGGTATCACTGCTGGTTTTAATCTCTTCCATATTTTGCCTATAATAAAAAATGATATACAGTATGTCAAAGAAAATTGTCCTGCAAGCTGCTATGGTGTTTCTTTCTGTAAACCAACATTACTTACTTTGAGTCATCTCCTGTCCGGATTGATCTGTAAAACTTTCTTCCCAAAACAGCAGTAGAAATTAGCATCGCAACCGCAGTCACAGAGAGCACAGGCAGAAGCCAGTGAGGAAGAGTCTGAGAAGCCTGAAGATCAGTCACTCCTGGACTGTTTCTCCTGGTCTGAGCTGAAGAAAAAATGAATTCTGGAGATTAATCATTTGAAATAGTAGTATTTTATTAATCTTATTTCAAACCATTACACTACGCTAAGTATTTAAGCAGTATAAAGTATGTTGCTGCATTTACAGTAGGGCCCTATCACACACCCGGCGCAATAAGATGCAAGACATGTTTGGCGCAATTTGTTGCTATTTTCAGATCAGCGCATCTCTAATTTTCATGTTTTTCACCACGTTGTTTAAATCGCAAATCCATTTGTGCCATTTTATGGACTCATGGGTGTGCAGGTCTAAAATGGAGGTGTGGTAAGGCACATCGTTGGTGTTGTGTTGCTCTTTTAAAGAACTGAAATAGTCTGCACCATTGACCATCTAAAAGCAGGTCTAGGGCTCTATTTTAATGGTCTAGGCCAGGAGTGGGCAAACTCGGTCCTGTAGGGCCGGTGTCTTGCATTGTTTAGCTGCAACACTAATCAAACACACCTGTACATGCCAATCAGTGTCTTTAAGATCACTAGAAATCTATAAGCATGTGTGTGTGATTAGAGATGGAGCTAAACTGTGCAGAACACCGGCCCTCCAGGACTGAGTTTGCCCATCTCTGGTCTAGGCCCAACGTCTAAAGCGTATGTCGCAAAAGCATTAAGGGCATGTCCGAATCCATTTTGCTATTTTAAGGACAGAAAAATACAGTTTGCGCCATGGCGCATGGTTTAACAGGGTTGTGCTTATGCTCTTAATGAGTTATGGGTGTGTTTTGAGCATAACGTGCGTTAAACCAATTAGAGTCTTGTCTCCTAATCCCTTTAACACAGCTACATCACGCCATGGTGTTTTTGCTATTTATTTACATGGCAAACTTTGTAAGTGGAAAAACTGTACACTTTACTAGCGAGAAAACAGTTAAACAGACCATCTGCAGTGTGAGGATAAAGAACAAGCCTCCTCTTTACTTCCTTTTTACTTTACCCCTTTACTTTTGTGGAGTAAAGAAACAGTGATATGCTCACGGTGAAGCAGTGGCACAGTAGGTAGTGCTGTCGACTCACAGCAAGAAGATCGCTGATTCGAACCTTAGCTCAGTTGGCATTTCTGTGTGGAGTTCTGTGTGCATGTTCTCCCTGACTTCGCGTGGGTTTCCTCTGGGTGCTCCGGTTTCACCCACAGTCCAAAGACATGCAGTACAGGTAGATTGAGTAGGCTAAATTGTCCATATTGTATGAGTGTGTGTGTGAATGTGTGTGTGGATATTTCCCAGAGATGGGTTGTGGCTGGAAGGGTTGGCGGTTCATTCTGCTGTGGCGACCCCGGATTAATAAAGGGACTAAGCCGACAAGAAAGTGAATGAATGAATGAATGTTATGCTCACTGCACTGAAGAATTCTATTAGTCTACATATTTGTTTTGTTTGTTAAGTGCAAAGATTTGCTTTAAAACTATTCCTAAATTCAGTTCTAATTTCCAGCAAACGAAATAAATGAACTATAATAACAAAGTGTGGTTATTTCTGAGTTGAAAACTCTTGTTTGTTGTTGTTTATGTTTGCTTTGTTGCCTATCTTGACCATTAGCCTGTTAAATTACACTAGTCTGCAGTGTGAAATTATTATTTTCATATAAACAGACAGTTGAAGTTAGGATTATTAGCCCCGCTGAATTATTAGCACCCCTGTTTATTTTTTCACCAATTTCTGTTTAACGCAGAGAAGACTTCTTCAACACAGTTCTAAACATACAGTAATAGTTTTAATAACTCATTTCTAATAACTGATATATTTTATTTTTGCCATGATGACAGAATAGAATATTTCACTAGATATTTTTCAAAACTCTTCTACACAGTTTAGCGACATTTAAAGGCTTAATTAGGTTAACCACGCAAGTTAGGGTAATTAGGCAAGTTATTGTATAACGATGGTTTGTTCCGTAGACTATCGAAGAAAAATCGAATAATTTTGACCTTAAAATGGTTTTTAAAAAAATTTAAACTGCTTTAATTCTAGCCAATCTTAAACAAACAGGACTTTCACCTGAAAGAAAAAAAAATCAGACATACTGTGAAAATTTCCTTGCTCTGTTAAACACAATCTAGGAAATATTTGCAAAGGAAAATCAAAAATCAAAGGGGGCTAATAATTGTGACTTTACCTGTATATTAGAATGATAGTTGTATCTCTGCCAAATACTGTTGTAATTTTGTATACATTTGAAAACATTAATCTGAAACATGTTTTACTAAAATAAAAAGTATGTTATGACAGTTATATTTTTATCAAATAAACAGCTTATCCACACTAGCTAACCAAACAAGTTCAAATTAAATTTTTAATAAAAAATAATAAATGCTTTGTTACCTGATCGGATATAAAGGTGTGTTTGATTCTTGTGAAAAATGCCATTAAGACGCAATCTGCACAAGTAAGTTCCATTGTTCTCATGGGTCACAGATGGTAGAAGTATATCAAAATTCCTCAATTCTACATCTCCTTGAAAAAATACACCAGAAGCTGGTGCAGTTTGATTTTTGATGTAGTAGAGGACTATTTTTGACAAAGATGAGTTACTCTGTATTTTTAAAAAAATCACAAATGTATTAATATAAACAAATATACATGTAATCTTTTATAAATGTGCAATGTATTGTTGTGCTGGTCCCAAAAATACCTGGAATTCCCACTCCACACTGAGAGACATGATGTCCAGAGGTCCTTGACATTTTGAAAAATTACATGACAAGTAGACATCTGTCCCAACATTAACCCTCTGATCTGGACCGGTCTCCACACAACAATGGATTCCATAAACTGTCCACCAAAAGAGCACAAAAAATATTTGATTAGGAAATAAAATGTGTCATAGACTTGAATACATGAAGAAATTAATTTGTGCTTACCTGTGAGGATGAATACCGTGACCAGATACAACATCACTGACAATGCAGAGCAAAGAAACTAAATACATAAAAATGTTTCTTGCAGATAAATATAGAATACACATACATAATAAACTATGAATAAATATTAAAAATGAAATATATAATTTTAGTATCTAACAGAAAAAATGGCCTCTGGAACTCTAACAGTTCACGAGTTTAATTGTTGTGAGGAAGTGCTTCGCTCTTTCGTGACACATTTGATTGTGGTTTGGTTATCGGTGTCAGAAATGCCTACTCTTCCACATCCGGCAGATGTTTTTTTTTTTTTTTTTTTCCTATTCTTATTTTGTGGTTCTATTTTGTGACTACCAGCATTGCAAAGTATCAGGTTTCCTTTTGTTACAATTCACTGTCAGAGTATATTTTGTCATCAAAAGAACATGAAAAGCAACTTTAAACTTGTAGAGGTATTATCTCTAAAACCCAAAAGAGTAAATCTTTCTGTTGAATTAATGTGTTAAATATTTAGGGGAGAGCGGGGCACAAAGTAACACATTGGTTTTGGTCAAATAATAAACAAAGTAATCGGGGTAGACAAACCATTTATTTATTTATTTATTTATTTATTTATTTATTTTACCAATAACACACATGCCTCCCCTATGAGCACTGAAATTGTGACTACTGGATTTTTTGTGCTGTATTTGCAAAAATGCCAGGAGTAAAAATTTTACAATTTATTCCAGCTGCGGGCAAGTTGTAACAGACAGGGGGTAAGTTGTAACACATGCTTACAAAGGCAGATTTCACATTTTAAGGCAGAGTTAAAAAAATGTTTGCTTACCTTAAATAGTAGCTATATTTCCTCAGTAGTTGGCTCATTTCTTTCTTTATTTATATATTTATTATTCTACATAGCAGAGTGTGTTTATTTATTTAAATGATTATTGGATAAACACATTTGAATTTATTTGCATTATCAATTTATCCATTATTATATAATGCATTTATTTGCATTATTAGCTAAAATATATATATATATATATATATATATATATATATATATATATATATATATATATATATATATATATATATATATATATTTTTTTTTTTTCTCGATTAAAAAACTTTTTAAAAAAAGTTCTCAAAACTACTTTCAAAATTAAAAAAAGATGTGCTTCAGAGTTTTTAACTCTTAATTTTAATTGTATTTTTTCTAAATAACTCATTAATACCTCATTACTTTGAAACAAGTTCACAGTACTCATAGATTCGTTTTTTTTTTTTTTTTTTACTCAGATGGTTTGTCGAAAAGTTCAAAAGTTTCTCAAACTTTTTGAGTTCTCTTTATTTATTCGATATATTCGGTAATATAACCATGAAAGTAATACCAATGACAATTTTTCAGGAAAAAATAATTTTAATAAATGTAATTTTACTACATTTGTGTTAAACACTACCACCAGTGACAAGTAGGCCTAACTAAAACACAATTATTAATGGTGACTCAAAAGACTAATTAATCCAATAAGACATTGCTTCATTTAAAAATATAAATGAATTGTAAACCTAAAGCTTTTGTCATGTGTAATGCTGTAGCATACAGAAATTTAGCTGTATATTAAAATAAAGAACAGCTTTATCTGAAATTATTATTATTATATTATTATTTTAACTACCCAGGTTCTGCAGGTTGCAATGTCCCGAATTTTGTTTGCCAGTCTTAAGCCAATTGTTATAGAGTGTTTTGGTACAATTTGGAATTTTCCCAACCAGCGCAGAACCCGGGTGACCAGAGTGAGTGCTCTGACCTGGCCCCACCGCTGGTCCTTATTTGAAATAATTAGTTTTAAGCTATTTTGATGGGAGGTTTCACAAACCGGAAGCACTTTCATTGGTGATCAAAAACACATGAGGGGACTAGTTTGGAAATGGAAGTGGATAGTTTCTGTTAGGATTTTCAGTGTCACATTCCGTAGAGCAGTGGTTCTCAAACTGTGGTACGCGCACCACTAGTGGTACGCGGGCTTCCTCCTAGTGGTACGCGGGCGGAGGAATCGCCAAATAATGAAATAAACAATTAACACTTTTAATCCTTTGATGCGTACTATAACATCGATGTGATCAGCATTGGCTGTTTAGTGAAGCGTACGATCACAGCTCTTTGCTTAGAGTGTTTATTTTAGTGCATTGTGACATAAGCTGCTGAATATCAGTTTCCGAAGTTTAAGAGCATTGATTCTGAAGCGTGATTTGACTGACATGAAAAGTAGCCAATCACAGTCGACCTTGTCTAGTTTTGCGTGAATGTAAGGGCGGGACAAAGGCTTTCTGTGTTGCAGAGACAGAAAAAACAACTTAAAAACAAATGTTTTGTTAGAATAATGCTTCTCGGATGTTTTCACTATAGAAATGTCTAGCAGAGTTATTAAACCGCGGACATATTTCCTGCCTATTTTATAATCTTCATACACGTTTCGCTCTCCGACAGCGAGTCGACTCGCCTCTGACCTGTCACTCCTCTATACATTCTGAATGGCGGCGCGGGACTGGAGTTATTGCGCAATAACTTATTTCTGCAAATGTGGCGAGTGCTTTGTTTTATCACGAGAGAGCGCATTCATGTACGCAAATCGCTAAAAGAGTTATGCGAGCTCTTAAATATGCTTTTTTCAAATGAACTGCAAGTGCTCTCATGATCGCCTGCGTGCTCAGATTGAATACAATCGCGATCTTTCCACTATTAAAGTAGACATTTATCTTTGCTCCTTAACTAAATTTAGTCAAAAGTATTCAAATTTATCAAGTATTTAGAAATAGATTGATGCATTATCGATGACAATGCTAATGGTCTTCTTGTTTGGCTGTGTTGTGAAGTGAAACTTACTTTTAGCAAAGGTGGAATTTTTTTATTTCTTTACGACAAAATAATTATGCTGGAAATGTTTCTGGATGAGGTATTTGTGTGATTTATACATTTAGCTGTATTCTGATCTGTCTTAAAGCATTACAGGTCAAAGCAATCCGTTGTTACTTATTGTTTATTTATCATAATTAACAATAAGGCTCTTAAAGCACTGCTTTGATAAATGTAGTGTTGTCATATTTTAAATACCTCAAGTAAAATTAAGTCATTTGTTTTATTTTTTTTTAACTGACAGTGTACTTGTATTTTTTTTAAAGTTTGTATTTTAGATTAAGCTCAAGTGTAAAATAAAATCTGCATGTGATGTACAGCTATTTAAGAAAATAAATTTGCCATATTGTAAAGAAAAATGTGCGTAAAATATGTAACTAAAAGGCGTAAATTTAAATCTTTTTTACCATATACTTTGAGATTAATACCTTTCAAAGCTTGAAAATATTGTTTAAAAATGGGCAAAAACTGTCTTGATGGCCTTAAAGATTATGTGGTAGTTTTACCAGTGCTATTGAAAAAGATTAATTGTCATGAAAGGAAAAATCGGTCACACTTCCTTTGTTAGTGCAAGTTCCTATACATGTAGCTTTGGGATTTAAGCAATTAAACCATTCAATCAAGTTTACACATAAAAAGTGATTTCATAATGAAAATCTGATTTTTTTTTTACTAGTACTTATTAAAAGAGTACTTTGTACTTTTACCTAATATTAGTATTATTTACTAAAATTTGTGTTATTTTAGCAGTGTAATAGTATTTTTACTTGAGTACAAAAAATATTTTACAAGCATTTAGTGCAGGTTTATTATATTATTAATATATGGTTAATAAATATTATTATTATTATTATTATTATTATTATTATTAATGGTTTTTATTTGAATCTATTCCTATATAATGTTTTATGGGTCGCTGACAATACATTTCAGGTCTTCAATACATAGCATGTCAGTCTTGAAAAAAATAGGTGCTGGAATTGATTTTCATTAGGCTGTCCCTGTATGAACCCTGTCATATGTACATTTAACATATATTTCAAGATTTGACTGAAAGTGTATGAATATGACATTTAGCCTATATTTATGAGGTCCAAGGAACATTTCCAACTTTTGATGAATAGGCTACTATGAAAACTTTAGATTTAAGTACTGCAGTTTTCTTTTTACTTTTTAAGAACAGCGCCATTTTTTAATGAACTTTTAAAAGCCCATTTTAACTAAAACGTTTTTTTTTTTTTACCTGCAAGCACAGTTAATGTTCAGACTATTTAAAATGTTTAAAGTGACTGACAATAATACATATTCTAAATAATAGAAATTAATCTGCATCGTTTTTAACAATGTGCACACCTGTAGCTGCTTAATTAGGCCTACGATGCTATTTTTTAATACTGGTTAAAAAATAGCGTCGTAAGGTGGTACTTGGAGAGACAACTTTTTTCTAAGGTGGTACTTGGTGAAAAAAGTTTGAGAACCACTGCCGTAGAGTAAATAACGTCGTTCAGATTTGGAAGAACATTCGGGTGAGCAAATGATGATGCTTAATAGTTTTTTTTTTTCCGCGATCTTTTCCTTTAAGGTACGGAGGTCAGTGGATAAATGTTTTCAACATAAAATTGTCTCTTTCGCCCTCTAGTGTGCCATTAACAGTAGTCAAACAAACATAAAGGCATCAACTCAGGCAATAAACAATACATCAACTCAGGCAATAAACAAAGATGTCTGTTACATTGATCCATTCATTCCTTATTATTCAGCTGCAACTTCAATTCTTACAAAACACTTTGCTATTTCTGTAGTGAACTTGATTAAGTGGGACACAATTGTTGAGAATACAGAATCATTACATGTGTCCGGAATTTCATAAGTGTTGAATCAGTAAGTATAAGTCTGAAATTCCTCATGAGTGGACAAATCATTGAATTATTCATCAGATCAATAATGAGTCTATTCATGAGTAATGGAGTATATAATCATTTATTTGTTACTGAACAGTTTCAATGGCCAGATGTTTGGAGAACAAGCTGACAAAACGCATATTCTCTAATCAGAGTGATTATATGATTGAGTACAGTGTTGATCTGATGAATCACAGTTTAGAAATGTGATCCAGCTGCAGTTTCTAGCAGCTGAACAACTTTTCTTGTATTTATAAGTACTAACTCATTTGATTCAAGATTATGATGATTCACATTAATAGATTTGTAGGAATTTATAGTAGATATTCATATATATTTAATCTATGGTATCATCCACAGACAAACAAGTAAATTGGTTTTTATTTTAATAAGTTGCAGTGCAATTTAACCCAAAACTTGT